TAAATGAAAATATCTTTAAATTTAAGTAGCAGTCACAATGTTAATTCTATTTTAAAAAATCAAATATTTGATCAAAAAATAACCATTTTCCCGCTATCTATTTTGACCATTAATTAATAACATATTATGTAATTCTRTAAATACCAAACGTAATAACTTATTGTAATAAACTAGCTGATCCTCGTGCACTTCGTTGTCCGTTAAAAATATCAACTCTATTTGATTCAAAATGTGTGTTTAATTCGTTGTTTAGTACTCGGACTAACACGCTAGCCATGTTCAAAACTCCTCGTGACGAATTGCCGCTTGTTTACCCTATCTTATAATCTCCAATTATTCTCCATTAAAGATTTCTAACGCTGCAGACACATAAAATACAGGAATAAAACTATATTCAATCATAATATTTTCTCTCATTTTTAGCTTTGTAAAGGTGAAACAATTTTTAAAGTTGATACTTATTAACAAATTACTAATTTCTTATTCGAATTACTGATCAAAATTTTTTTGAGAGGCATAGCTGTATAGAAATTACATCATTATAACAACAACAACAAAAACAAAAATACAAAACATCAGTTACAACTTTTAATGTCATAGACGCATGTGCCACGGAAAAAAACAAAAATAAAATAATAACAAATTCAGGGATAGTAGTTTTTATTATTATTGAAACTAATAGCAACCATCAATAAACAAAAATGTCCATTTTAAATCTCAAAATRTGTGTTTATGCATCTCCCGGGGTTAGGCCTATCACCTTTTAACTAAGCCTATCTTCTGTCCATAGGTCTAATAAATCTGTGTACCAAATTTCGTCGTAATTGATTCATCCGTTTAAGGAATGCATAAAGGAAAAACTAACAGACAGAMATAAATTTTAATATAGATAATATATAGATTATTAACGGATCGAATATTATTACATTATTTAAAGCTGACCCGGTGAACTATTATAATGTGATATACATTAAAATCTTCCCAGAAACGTGACCAACTAAAATAACTATAAAATTAATAAGTACAAACAAGAAAAAAAATGATTTGAAAACTGTGCAAAAAGTTAGTTTAGGGCTTTATAGGCTATCGAAACTGGTTCGAACTCGAGACACTCAGCACATTAATCCTACCGAAGTGCTATTGCCTCATAGAATTTTTGGTACGTGGCAATAATTTTACGGCTTTTCAATACCTAGCAAATTAATACATTTCTTATAAATTCTAAAGTTCTGACATAACCTGTGGACTTTCTAAAAACGTTATATAGTCTATAGTCTTCCTCGATGAAAGGACTATACAACAACAAAATAATTTTTAAGTTCGAACCAGTAGTTTTTGAGATTAACACGTTCAAACTTTCTTAACTCTTCAGCTTTATATAAAATTATTTATTATTAATTTATAATATTAAAGTAAGATTCGTGATTTTATTGTATTTAGTATATATTATGAAAAAAATTTAGTAAAAATGACAACATTTCTCAAATACTTATTGCATTTATAAACAAATACCGGTAAATATTCACATCCTTACAGTATCTAATACCTATTAGTAATGAACTAATGAATGCAGACATTTATCATTATTATTGGTTTTAAATATATAAAAAATTAGTGGAGACTGGGGAACAGTAACTACCAATAAAGGTTACCATAACGAGATCACCTTAACATAAAAAATATTTATATTTCCACTTTTTAATTACTTAGTTTTCTTTTCCCTGGTCCTGTAACTGTCCAGCACCTGCCTCCATTGACGTACTATGGTATAAGTTTCAGGTTGATCCAGTGTGCTTGTATGTGTTAAAGAATCGTAATCGGTGTCCAAATAGCCGATTTTATTAGATTTTGGTTCGTCAGCTAGATCTTCTCTTTCGTATAGATAGTTCACCGCATCGAATCTGAAYCCGTCAACGCCACGTCCCAACCAATATAACAGCGTGTTCTAAGAAAAAAAAAGATATTCGTTTAAAATACGAACCAACAACTGAATGATTATTAATTAATATCATGGATGTAATACTTTTATTTCTTCTCTAACAGATGGATTT